TAAAATAAAATAAATAATTATTATTATTTTTTTTTTTTTTTTGCCAGAGGGCACGTGTCCTTGGAAGACAGGCAGGGAAAGTGAAAAAGCACATCCCATGGGTAACAGTCGCACTGCAATCCCGTCCCCTCATATCTTCTCCCTTTTGGGATTTTAGGCATGCACACATATGCTCCTAGAGTGTTTTTCAAGCCCCTGGGACTTTGATTTGAACCATGCAATCTGCCATGTGGGATTTAACCACCCTAACCACCACACCACAGGCTGGGACTACCCTCTTGACCCATCTACCTACTACTTGCTTATCTTTTTGTCTTGAATCTGACCTATAACAGCCCCTAGCCAGCCTTGTATCACTGTCCATGTTTACTAATAAACTGAAGTAGAGACTCCTTTGTTTAGTGATGCATTCACCCACAAACAGTAACATATTACAAGGAAACAAGATGGGTCAATCCACAGCCAATCAATTAAGGGAGCTAGATCTCTCAAGGCTTTGAATCCTACCTGAGGACCTGGAAATCACCCTGGACACGTGTGCACACATGCCCAAAATCCCAACAGGATGGAAAAACAAAGGAGTAGAGATTCCAAGATAATCATGCCCCATTATGAGCTGCTTTCTCCCTCCATCTTTCACTCTCTTTCTCTCTAGCAAGCACACGCATACTTTGGCAAGTAAGCAACAACCAAAAAAGAACTCAGAGAGTATACCTATTCATACTTCAAGTCTGTAATTTTTTTTAGTGATTTCATCCTCCATCTTTTAAGCCCCATTATTGTTTGTCCGTTTCTAGAGATTTTTGCTACAGGGTGCATACACTCACCAGAGAGAGATGGAGAACAGAAAGAGAAAAATCGATAACAGAAAGAAAAAAATCAGCCCCCAGAGGGGATGGTCACACCGCAATCCCTTCTCCTTCATTCTTGTCTCAGGATTTTGGGCACACATGCACATGCGCCCAGCCTGACCTAAGTTTTAATCAGCCAGGTCCAGTGTGGTCAACTTCATGGGAGTCCAGCAATGTAACAACTATGCCATCTGCTGGTCTCAAAGCCCCATTATTATAATACTAGAAAAACAGCTATAATTATCCTACAACACATTCCAATGAACAATCTAAACATACCAATAGAACCATAAAAATATTTCTCAGAGATTCGCCATCCTATACAGATTACTTGGTCATTATTACTACTGATCAGAAATTGCCCAGGCAGCCCCAGTCACTATGACACAGAAAGTAGGGTGTCACTACGCAATGCTAGAACCACATCAAAGACCGGAGTTCAGAATCTCAAATTAACCTGAACACAGTAAGCAGGGCCTGTAGCCCGTGATCCCAGCTGACTGGAAGGCTGAGAGGAGGAAAGAGGAGGATTGCAGTATATTGAGACACTGTTCAACTGTTCAGAGTACCTACCTACCTGCCTGCCTGCCAGCCTCTCTCTTGCTAAGGAAAGAAACTCAGGGAAAAAAGAAAAAGAGAAAAAGAAAGAAACTTAGGGGGACAGCAGGTGGCATGGTGGTTAAGACAGGTGGACTCCCACATGGCTGACCACAGTTCAAGTCCCGGATCTGGCAGCTTACTTTCTCACGTTTCTTCTCTCTGTCTCTGGTTAACTTCAATAAAAAAATAAAATAATGACAATGAATAAAATTAAATAATTTTTTAAAAAAAGAAACACACTGAGACCAGCAGATGGCGTAATGGCTATGTTGCTGGACTCCATGTAGTCAACCACAGTTGGTGGCTTAAACTCACGCTGGGCGCGTGTGTGCACACGTGCCCAAGATTTCAAAAGGAGAATGAAGGAAAAGGCACTGTGGCATGGCCATCTTCCCTGGGGGGGGGAAGGGCATGATTTCTCACTTTCTGTCTCTCTTTGGCTTTCTCCCGAGCACATGCGCCCTATAGCAAAAACCTCTCAAAAACAAAAAACAAAACAAGAAACAAAACAAACCTAGAAAAGAGAAAAATATGCATATGTACATACATATTTATACACACACATATATCCCCCAAGCAAAAATAAAAGCTTCTGGGGACCAGAAGTTGCTGTAATGGCTATGTTGCTAGACTCCCATAGAGTTGACCACAATTCAAGTCCCAGACCTGATGGCTTAAACTAAGGCCGGACACATGTGCACACATGCCCAAGATCCCAAGAGAAAGGAGGAGAAGGGATTGTGGCATGGCTATCCCCACCAAGGAGTGATTTCTCACTTTCTATCTCTGTCTCTGTCTTTCCAATGAGCACATGCACCCTATAGCAAAAACCTCTCAAAAAATAAATAAATAAATAAAGGCTTCTGCTATAAACGAGGTTTGTCTTCTTTTTAAAGAATTGTTTATTTGTTTATTTTTCATTTTCATTTGAACAGAAAGAGAAGAGGAGAAAGCAAGACGCCAGGTCCAGGACTCAACCCATGGTCTACCATGTGAGAATCCAATGCCCTTAACCACCATGCTACCTGCCAGCCTAAATAAAAGCTTTTTTTAATAACTAGATAAAATGTTGAAAATTTGTTTTCTGCCTTCTGTCAAGTTCTTAGTCTACTCCAGAAAGAACTACCACATTACAAATGGTCATAATTTGTTTTTAATTTATTTCTTCCAAGGCCAACACATGGTATGGTGGTTAAGGTTCTGGACTCCCACATGGCCAACCATGGTTCAAGTCCTGGACCAGGCGGCTTGCTTTCTCATTTTCCCTGTCTGTCTCCCTTTGGTCAAATGAAAAAATAACAAATGGATTTTTTTTTTTTTTTTTTTTTTGGAGAGATTTTCGCTATAGGGCATGTGCGCTCGCCAGACAGACAGAGAGAAACATTAGAGACAGAAAGCAGGAAATCACCCCCAGGGGGGATGGTCACGCCGCAATCCCTTCTCCTCTATTCTCCTCTCGGGATGTTGGGCACGCACGCACACGCGTCCGGCGTGAGTTTTAAGCCACCGGGTCCGAGACGTGAACCACGGTCGACTACGTGGGAGTCCAGTGACATAGCCATTACGCTAACTGCTGGTTCCCATTTTTTTTTAATTTATTTCTTCCATGAGCAAGAGACACAGAAAGATATAGACAGCCAGCACCCTCAATAGAATCATGGCACTACAATCTGCTCCTAACCTTAGTCATTCCTGCATCATGGGCACATGTGTGTCTGGCACACTCAAGGTCTCCAGCACAAACCGGAGGCTCCTGTGTGGGTTAGCCTCATTTTACTCATTTGCCAGTGATCAACACAGCTAACGGTAATATTTCTGTATGGTTAATGAAGAATAAATCTATTCTCCCTGATATTTCGGTAAGTTTAATTGGAAAATTGCCTTGGGCCACAAAGAATAAACATATCTTTTCCTTATTTTTCTTTTAAGAGATATTTTTGCTATAGGGCCCATGTGCTCAGGAAAGAGACAGGGAGATTCAGAGAGAAAGCAAGAAATCGGCCACCAGGGGACATAGCCACACCACAATTCCTTCTCCCCTATTCTCCCCTTGGGGTTTTGGGCAGAAACATAGGCTCTCAGTGTGAGTTTGAAGCCACTAAACCACCTATTGGCCCCTCTTCTTCATTCCTCTTTTTTTTTAAATATTTATTTATTTATTTAATTCCATTTGTTATTATTTTTTAATTTGACCAGAGAGAGATAAAGGGAAAGTGAGAAAGCAAGCTGCCAGGTCTGGGCCTCGAACTGCGGTTCGCCATGTGAGAGTCCAACACTCTTAACCACCATGCCACCTGCCAGCCCTGGCTCTTTCTCATTCGTATAGATGACAAAGGAATTCAAAAAGAAAGTAGCCAACCAAATAAAAAAGGGAAAGTTTTGCCAAAGGGACTGCATGTTTAAAAACAGGGAGTGTTCAAAACTAAACTAAACACATACAGATCCAGTAAGAAAAAACTTGACACTCACAAAAACTGTTGTGCTTTTTTTACCATTAAACAAAAAATAGTAGAATTATCAATACACTTTCATATTTCTACTGCCACTGTAGTCTAACTATGATTAGCTAATGTAATCTTCAAATTATTAATATTTCAAGCATTCCTGATCTGCAACTACAATTATGAAAGCCCACATGACTTCACATTTTTGTTTTCAAATGATACACCACCATATATTTACTTGGTTCAATTTATTTTTTGTATTTTAACAAATCTCTTTTAAATGCCAAGTCAATATATAGCCTAAATTTTTTCCTTTACTGACAACATTTAAATAAAAGACTGATAATGTTTAAACGACAACATGACTACAGCCTCCTAAATTACTCACTGAACTATTTTAAAGGTTTTGATAAACAGCCCTTACCACTCTGGCTGCTCTCTCCTGAGATTCACATTTTCTGCAAAACCATGGTCCAGTGGGTACTTGAACAATGCCATAGCACGCTGTGGAGAAATAAAATGTTTTTTAAAATATTAAGATTTAGTTAAGGAATGTCAATACCCTTTTCAAAATCCTGGTAAACTACCTGCTTTAGAGACATTAAAACATTTCATATTCTTTTTACCACACTTATAACCAACTTAATTAAAATACTAAAACTGTATATGTGGCCTGCCCCACGGCCTCATAGTTAAGAGAGCCAGATCCCACAATTGTGCGATTTAAATCCCAGACCTGGTGGCTTGAAAACACACAGAACATGTGTTTAAGCCTGAAATTCTAAAAGGACAGAGAAATGAAGAAACTTCTAGCCATACCCCATTGGGGAGGGCTTTTTTCCCTCTTCCTCTCTTTCTCAGGCTAGTGTATATGTCCTCTGGCAATTTTTTTTTTTGAGAGGTTTTCGCTATAGGGCGCGTGCACTCGCTAGAAATCTAGAAAGAGAGAGACAGAGAGATAGAAAGCGAGAAATCACCCCCCCAGGGGGAATGGCCACACAACAATCCCTTCTCCTCCATTGCCCTCCCAGGATCTTGGGCACACAAGCACACGCGCCCGGCATGAGTTTAAGCCACCGGGTCCAAGACTCGAACCGCAGTCAACTACATGGGAGTCCAATGACATAGCCATTACGCTAACTGCTGGTCCCAAAATTAAATATCTCTTTAAAAAAAAAAAACAGTGAAGTGCAAGGGGACCAGCAAATGGCATAATGGTTACATCGCTGGATTCCAACGTGGCAGGCTTCGGTTCAAATCCTAGACCTGGCAGCTTCAAACTCACACTGGGCAAGGGCATATGTGTGCCCAAATCCAGAGAGGAGAGTGAAAGAGAAGTGACTGTGGCATGGCCATCCCCTCTGGAGGGGGATTTCTCACTTTGTCTCTCTGTCTCTGGCAAGCCCATGTGCCCTATAGCAAAAGTTTCTTTAAAAAAAAAAAAAAGTGAAAATACCGGACCAGCAGGTGGCATAAAAGTTAAGGCACTTGATCTACATGGCCAACTCCACAGTTTAAATCCTGGACTCAGAATTTGAAATCACACTGGGCACCTGTGTGCGTGTGCCCAAGATCCCGAGAGAATGGAGAAGGGAATGCAGTGTGATCACCACCCTTGGGAATGATTACCCACTTCTCTGTGTGTTTCACAAAAGCACATGCACCTTATGGAAAAAAAAAAAAAAAAAAAAAAGAAGAGAACTCATTAATATGAAATGTCCAGAATACATAAATCCATACACAGAAGATAGATTACTGGTCACCCAGGGGTAGAGAAACTGGTAAGATATAAGAAGTAACTGCTAATAGGTCCAAGATTTGTTAGGGTGATAAAAAGATCTAAAATTGGTTGTGGTAAAGGTTACACAATACTGTAAATATTTTTTTAAGAATTATTTTATTTAATTTTATTCATTGTTATTATTTTATTAAAGTTAACCAGAGAGACAGAGAGAGAAGGAAAGCTATAAAGGAAGCTGCCAGGTCCAGAATTCAAACCCTGGTCAGTCACGTGGGAGTCCAGCCGCCTTAAGCCACCACGCCACCTATCAGTCTCATTTCTGTGAATATATTAAAAACTACCAAAACTACAGAATTTTGGGGCCGGCAGGAGGCCCACGTGGTGGTTAAGGCACTAGACTCCCTCCCACACGCAGTTTGAGTCCCACACGTGGCAGCTTGCTTTCTCATTTTCCCCCTTGGCATACTTACGCATGCACACGCTCTCTGTCCCTCTCTGGTCAAATGAAAATAAAAGAAAGCAAGAAAAGAAAGGAAGAAATAAAGAAAGTTGAGTGAAATAATTCTTAAAAAAAAAAAAAAAAGAAGAAACTACATAATTTTACACTTACTAGGGTAAATTGTGGGTTAGTCCTGTAGAATAACTGTTAAGCACTGTACACAGGAAGCGAGATCCCACATGGTTAATAACTGTTCAAGTCCCAGCCCAGTGGCTTAAAAAAACTACATGCATGTGTACACATGCCCAAAACTTATTACAGAATAAAGAAATGGAAGAAAAAAAAGGATTGTAAGGTGACCACACCCTACTGGGGAAGGCTCTCTTACTTGCGGGCTCTCTCTCTAGTGAGTACGCACCCAAGTAGTAACCTAAAAAAAACAGGGGGCGTGAAATTGAGGGTTGAGTCAATGACCTACCAGTTACATCTCTAGACTCCCAAGTAGTTGCATGCGGTTCAAGTCCCAGATCCGGAACCTTAAAAGTCACACTGGGTAGAGCTGTCGATAGGTTCATGTACCTACTATTTGAACAGAATCCTAACCTGTTTCCTGGCTTTAAGTTTTAAGCGAAGTTATCTAGCATTTCTTTGATTTATTAAAGTTAAAACTGCTTTTCTTGAAATTATCAGCTGAACTTGGTATCGAAAGGATTTAGATTATTTAAGAAATTGTGTGATCAATAAAATATGGGGCAAAAAGGAATGGAAAACAACTGTAAACACCAGAGATACTGGGAAGGGTGGGAAAGGACAGAGGGTCAGAAATAGGGGTAAAATATGTATGTGTGTGTGTGTATACATATATATATATATATATATATATATATACATAAATATATACATGAAACTAGAAATGGAAAATTATTGACAATAACATGCATGATTGAGTCACTATGCAGTATATTCTGGATGGGAAATCATTTTGTATGCTTGTGATGATGCTTAGGGAATGAATGTAAATTAATTAAAAAAATGTTTCAGAAAAAAAAAAAAAGCTCATGGAAATATGTATAATGGGAAAACTATGTATGAATTTCAAAAAGTTTTTGTACAAAGGGGGACCAGCAGTTAGCGTAATGGCTATGTTGCTGGACTCCCACATAGTCGACTGTGGTTCGCATCCCGGACTGGGTGGCTTGAAACTCACGCCGGGTGCATGTGCGTGAGTGCCCAAGATCCCCAGAGGAGAATGGAGGAGAAGGGATTGCAGCGTGGCCATCCCCCCGGAGGATGATTTCTCACTTTCTGTCTCTCTGTCTCTGTCTTTCTAGCGAGCACAGGAGCCCTACAACAAAAACCTCTCCAATAAAATAAAGTTCTGTATCTTGATGGCCATTGTCAGTATCCTGATTGTGATATTGTGTTGTTGTGCAATTGGTTATCATCAGGGAAAACTGAGGAAAGGGTGTGTCACACTGGGAATGTGTGCATGCATGCATACCCAAGATCCAAAAAGGAGAATGGAGGAAAAGGAACTGCGGCACAGCCATCCCTTGCAGGGTATGATTTTTCTCTCTCTCCTCTCTCGTAAGTGCACATGCCTTATGGCAAAAATCTCTCGAAAACTGAGGACAGCTGGTGGCATAGTGGTTAAGGACACTGGACTCCCACATGGCTGACCATGGTTCCATTCCTAGACTGGCGCCCTGCCTTCTTGTTTTCTCTCTCTCTCTCTCTCTCTGTCCCTCTCTGGTCAAATTAAAATAAATCAACAAAGTTAATAAAAAATAATTTTTTTAAAGAATCACTTAATTGTATTCATTCATTCATTCATTTTTTTTAATTTTTTTAACCTTATTTTTATTTATTTATTCATTCATTCATTTTAATTTGACCAGAGAGAAGGAAAGTGAGAAAGCAAGCCACCAGATCCAGGACTCGATCCATGGTTGGCCATGTGGGAGTGTCCAGCACCCTTAACCACCACACCACTTGCTGGTCCCCATTTTATTTTAATTTGACAAGAGAGAAAGTGAGAAAGCAAGCCACCAGGTCTGGGATTTGAACTGAGGTCACCCATGTGGGAGTGTCCAGCTCCTTAACCACAATTCCACCTGCTAGTCCCCAATAAAAATAATTTTTTAAGGAATTATTTTTTATTTAATTTTATTTATCCATTCATTTTAATTTGACCAGAGAGACAACGAGAAAGAAAGTGAGAAAGCAAGCTGCCAGGTCTGGCATTCAAACCGTGGTCAGCCATGTGGGAGTATCCAGCACCTTAGCAACCACGCCACCAGCTGATCCCTAAAAAAAATTCTTAAAAAAAAAAAAAAAAAAACTCGGGATCAGCAGTTGGTGTAATGGCTATGTCACTGGACTCCCATGTAGTCGACGACGGTTCGTGACCCAGACCTGGTGGCTTAAAACTCAAGCCAGGAGCATGTGCATGCATACCCACCCAAGATCCTGAGAGGAGAATGGAAGAGAAGGGATTATGGTGTGGCCGTCCCCTCTGGGGGTGATTTCTCACTTCCTGTTTCTCTGTCTCTGACTTTCTGGCAAGCACCCACATCCTATAGCAAGCCTCTCCAAAAAAAAAAAAAAAAAAAAAAAACAATTTTCACATGGGGCAAAGGGCCCAACAGGTGGCATAGTGGTTAAGGTGCTGGACTCTCACATGTTCAGCCATAGTTTTGAGTCCCAGATCCACCAACTTTAAATTCATAGCAGGCACATTTGCATGCATGCACAAAATTTCAAGAGGAGAATGGGAAAGGGATTGCAACATGTCCATCCTCCTCCCCAGGGAGGTGATTTCTCACTTTCTGTCTCTCTGTTCCTGTCACTTTGGCAACACACATCCTATAGCAAAACTAATAGTAAAAAATAAATTAAAAATATATATACGGGGCAGCAGGTGGCATGGTAGTTAAGAGCCCTGGACTCCCACATGGCCGACCACAGTCAAATCCTGACCTGGTGGCTTGCTTTCTTACTTTCCCTCTCTCTCTCTGATCAAATTGGAAAATAATAATAATAAAGTTAAAATAAAAATAATTCTTTATAAAAAAAAATGTACATATGTAAGTAAATATTGGACCAGTATGGTGGTTAAAAGGGCTGGACTGGGACCAGCAGTTAGTGTAATGGCTATGTCGCTGGACTCCCATGTAGTCGACCACAGTTCGAGTCCCAGACCCGGTGGCTTAAAACTCACGCTGGGCGTGTGTGCATACGTGCTCAAGATCCCAAGAGGAGAATGGAGGAGAAGGGACTGTGGCGTGGCCATCCCCCCTGGGGGGTGATTTCTCGCT